CCGCCTCCGCCTCTGCCTCCGCCTCCGCCTCCGCCTCCTCCTCCTCCTCCTCCTCCTCCTCGTCTTCGTCCTCCTCCCTCTCCTCCTCCTCCTCACTCCCAACTCCGCCTCCTCCTCGGCCTCCGCCTCCGCCTCCGCCTCCGCCTCCGCCTCCGCCTCCGCCTCCTCCTCCTCCTCCTCCTCCTCCTCCTCCTCCTCCTCCTCCTCCTCCTCCTCCTCCTCCTCCTCCTCCTCCGCTCAAGCCACCTAGGCTCAAGCTTGCTTGAGCTGACTCCTGTACCTGCGCGCGGTGCTTGAGGCACTCCGAGCCCCCGCTCCCCAGATCGGGCCGCGCTCGGCTGACCAAAGCAGGAGTTCAAGCCATGGTACGTTCTGATTCTGCGACACGGTCGTCCTCTCCCCGCTGGTGGTCTCGCTGTGACCAGTGCAAGCTGTGCGAGTGGAATGACATTCTCAGCAAGTTGGACAACAAGTGTGTACACTGTGCCTGTGAGGTGACCATCTTCCACCCTACGGGCAGCAAAGCAGTGAGGCCATCCTCGCGCGGCCGCAGAGTTACGTTCAGTGACTACGTTGAGATGCAGCCTAAGCAGCAGTTCTCTACCGTGCAGGGTGGGGAGGCAGCCAGGCCGTGGGCGAACCCCACCTCCGTTCGAGATCATCTCATGGAGGCGCTGAAGATGTCCCAGGATGAGGAGCTGAGGAAGTTTCTCAAGCAGAGGGTGGATTCCCTGTCAGCGCAGGAGCAGGCGTCGGCGCCACCGCCATCCGCCGCGGCTGCGCTGACCAAGGCCGATTCGGCCTGGCGGGACGCCAATCATAAGCATGACCAGGCGGTGGCCAACGTGAGGAGGCTGCGCACGGCGCTGGCCACCGCGGAGGGCAAGGAGGCGTCGGCAGCTGTGGTCCTTGCCAAGGCCGAGATCGCACGGAATGGCGCGGTCGAGTCGCTCGCCAGGGCTGAGGGGGTTGCAGCGGCGCCCGAAGCTACCGCGGGCGCGCAGAAGCCGACCGAGCTTTTCGCCATCACCTGGGATGAGTCGATCTTCCAGGACGTCGAGGGGCTAGACGTTGAGGAGACCGAGCGGGAGGAGCTGAAGACCATCCACGAGCAGCTCACAACCATGCAGAAGGCCTTCACGACCAAGTCGGGGGAGGTCAAGGAGTGGCTGGCGAAGGCGGCGCAGGTCCGCGAGAACATCTCCTCGCGCATGGCCAAGAAGCGCAAAGGGGCCGACGGCGGCGTTCATGCTGCCGCAGCGGGGCCCGCTGCGACGGCTCCGCCCCCTGAGGGCGCCAGCCACGCCAAGGTGCAAGCCGAAGCGGAACGGTTGTCGGCGGCCAAGTTCGCAGCGACCGAGGCCGCGGCGGCGGCAGCTGGCGGCGCCGCTGGCGCCAGCGCCGCCTCGGCCGCGGCTTGACAGGTTGCGCCTGGTCGCGAACCCCACTCGCCGAAGGTCGGCGGCCAGGCGCCAGTTTTGTCCGACGAGAAGCTTGTCGACGTACAGGACACGTCCGAGGGCCTCTCCACCTTCTATGCCAACGTCACTACTTTGGGGGATCAAGTATGGACGTATCTCATTCAACAATGTGATCACTATGCTCTGTGGGGATGCGCCGAGACTCATGTCCATGAGTCTGGCCTGCGCAAGCGAGAGCAGGTATCACGCAAGCACAATCGTCGAATGATTGCCAGCGCTGCACGGTCGACTGGGCAGCATCGGTCGGCTGCTACGGTCGAGAAGGCTACCGAGGGCGGGGAGATCATCTTCGCCAAGAAGCACCTCCAAGTCTCCAGCCTGGGCGACATTCAGGCTAAAGCCCTCAAGGCCCCAGGGTCTATGGCGGTGGACGGCTTCGTGGGGTCCGTCGTCCACTGCGAGGGCTTCTCCTTCATATTGTTCGTGTTCTACGGGTACTGTTCAATTGGTATGTCTGGGCGCAACCTTGCTCGGTTTCAGCGGTTGGGAGCTGTATTGCAAGTGTTGCAACTGCCATGGATAGTGCTCGGGGACTGGAACCTCAACCCGTCTGGGCTCGACAAGTCGGGCATTCTCCTACGTGTTCAAGGGCAAGTCATGGTGCCCCCAGTTGCCTTCACCTGCGACACGGGGGCCGAGGGCTCGCTCATCGATTATGCAGTTATTTCGGAGGCCATGGCACCGTACATCTTGGACTGCCAGGCCGTACTTGATGTCCCATGGCGGCCTCACATTGGCATCGCAGTCAAGATCAGGAGCAGCGGCAAGCAGCTGATCACACGCCGTCTTGAGGCGCCAGCTCGCTTGCCTCAAGTGACGCGGCCCCGCGCGCTGCCGCAGGAAGGGTCCAAATCGTCACTCGCCAAAGCCGAGAGAGCCATTCAGTCTGCTGCTGCCGCAGAGCGTCGCTCAAAGTTTTTCTTAGAGTTGTTTAGCGATTGCGTTGTTCGGGATAGACAGGAGGATGACACAGCAGTCCCGTCGGATGACGAGTCTCTAGTTGATGAGTGGCCCGAGGA